GCACATAACTGTGTCGAATGTGACCCGTGTTTTCTTTCGGCCATACCTTGACGTTGATGCGACCACTGTATGCAGTGCAGTACATTGTAGTCGAATCATGTGGTTTCACTTCACAGTTGTCCTGCAGGAATCTTCCCGCAGCGGCAGGATTATCGGATGTCAAGAAACACATCTTTTGACTTAATTTCATCTTCTTGATAATTTCTTTGTTGTAGCCTGTTCACAGACTCTCCATATTCTCTTCAAAGTCCGTCAGCGCCCGTGATAAAAAATGAAAACCGCGGGGGATTTATTGACCGCCAGCGCAAGGGGGTAGGGGTGGGAAAGAAGATTTTCCAACCGGGTGGTTTGTGTAAATGGTGAGCACCCTTGGTGACGTCACTGTAGGTAACTGCCCAGGCAGTTACCTACAGTGACGTCAATGACGTTAGCAAAGGTTCGCTTATAGTTCGTGTACATGTAGCTAGGGCTTGTTCCTCGATTTTTCTTTATCGAAATCGCGAAATTAAGTACGACAAGGTAGTATATTAAGTATGCTTATTTTTTTTTCTGTAATTAGATTCTTGGCGTTGCTTGGCGTAACCGGTACTGCCAATTTTCGTAAGTTCATTAGGTCTATTGTTATTACTTCAGTTAACTTTAAAAGGTCTATTTTTCGTCCTTGTAAATCGGTCGTCTAGTTGTATCCGGAGTTGCCGTACAGATCGTGGAATTATTTTTCTTGTGATTTTTTTTGCCCGTTTTCGTATTCGTTTGTTGTACTTTAAGTTATCTTTTTTGGCAAGTTTTCAGTTTGCGTTATTCTTTATTTTTCTTTTTTTCTTTTGCTGTTATTTTGTTCGAGTGAATCGTAAGTAAAGACGAATTAGAAACTGTACGTGAGTACTTATTTCAAGTAGTGTGCAAAGATAGTGAAAACTGACACGAGAGAAGAGCAGCCATCGCCCGTTCAGTTTCACCAGCTCACGCGCACCTTATTTCGCTTGACCAGGGGCCCATCAGGGCTCCTGGCTTGGCTGTTTTCGAGACTTTCTTATTGGAAATCTAAGTAATGGCAGACAAGAGGGCCACTCTGTGAAATGAGCCAGTGATGTAATTAAAAATAAACCGGATACCTTTGCAGCAACACAGAGTTGCCAAACCCCACAAGGCCAAAAATGTGAGATTCTGAACCTATCAATTTTTCGATTCAAGTTTTGTAATTTCTATGTTTTGTTGGCGGTCATCTTGAAGAAGAGAAACCGTAAGTCTGCACATTTGGTGGTAGCGGCAAGTCGCGGTAGGCGAAAAAATGTAATCAAACGCGACCTATAAGCGTTTTCTTTGGATCGAGCTGGCTATCTATATTGATATCTTACTAGGGTATCTAAGAGATAGTAATGCTGCGGCACATTCTGTTGATACTGGCATTAGTTAGGCAGTGAGACTTAAAAGAATCGAAAATGACATTGAATGTCCTATTTACATGTTGGAAAGTACTAGAATAATTACTATCAGTCTATAGAAAGAACTCGTGGGAACGTTGTTTAGAAAATGATCAAGTAGTTACAACTCTGGTTTTCCCACAGTAAATTGTAGGAAATAATAGAAATTCAGATTGTTTATCCATATATTTAATATATGGTGCACGATATTTTCTCTGGAAACACAATACTTTTCTTACTGTTTGTTGCACTTTATTAAGTAACAGTTATTTAGCTATATATTTATAGAAAACAACAACACAAAAAACGGAAAAAAAGAAAGAAGGAATAAAGAATTCGGTGGGACTCGAACGCTGCACCTTCGGCTCCACGCGATTACACCTAACCACTGCACCACAGAGGCTTATAACGTAATCTATAGGAAAAGTCTTTCATTTCATTCCTTTTCTATGAAACTTCCGCCGGCAAGATGATCGCCAGCCGCATTAACCGAGCTATTAACAGTAAAAAAAAACAATGTAAACGCATATTCCATGGCAATGAATGAAAGAAAAAACGTAATTATGTTTTTCAAAACGCCGATACACGTCCTCGTCTGCAAAGTAGGACACAAACATATGTTTTGTTACCTCGATTTCCGCGGTTATTTTGAAGCGAATGGTCAAAATCACATCCACTTTCGGCTCAAACAGTTTCTTAAGAATAGCACTGCATGACATTTTTTCACTTTCACATCGCCTTCTAGCAAGCTGGAATTTGTATATTCCCCCGTGTTGCGGAGTCGAAGAGCAAATGCTCATCTTCTCCGTCAGGTTTAACACCTGGACGAGTCAAAGGCTCGTAAATTGAAATCCAATCCCCAAGTTAACCATCGTACTCATCTGAAAGACTCCTGCGTGTCTTAAAATTTGGTAAGACCTCTAACCGTGCTGTAGAAAATTGGCCACAAAGAAAACTCTAAGTCTGAGCCGGCGAACGAAGCACTCTCACCCACCGAACTTCCCCGTGTTTTTATTTGAGTTGTTCGTGGCGCAATGCACTCTGGTTAAATGCAATGCATTGTGGTAAAAAGTGTGGTTAAATGCAATGCATTGTGGTAAAAAGTGAAGACTTCGAGAATTCGTCGCCCCTTATATATTTCCTTTAATTCTTGATTATGTTGCTGCTCGCTCCCTTCGGTCGCTCCGCAGCAACTAGGAAACAAACCCTAAAACTCCAAAATTTTTTTGGAGTTTGACTTTTGAGAAAGCGTGAGAAATCAGTTGCCAGCTCGTAAGGTATGTCGTGATATCGTGAGACTCACGAGAAAGCGCAAGACTTGGAAAGTCTGCGGCAACACATACCTTTTCATAATAATACACCATGGTATGAAAAGGAACCAGGAGGCCAGCGGTGCAGGCGCCGGTTAATTTCTTTGGTTGTAGTTTTTTTCACGGAGCGCACGAGGGAAAGAGGGAAACACGCGAGGAGAAGAGGAGCCATTAGGAGGCGCCTCCTCTAATTTTCTCGTATTTAGCCTGCGAAAACATCCGTTTCTCCTCGCTCTTCGCCGCCGGGGACGTTTCGCGCGGAGGAACGTTCGCGACTCAGCGACAGAAATTCCATATTGATGACGCAAATCAATGTGCACATAATAATCCAGCAGTCATGGGGTTCCAAATATAAATTTGTCCAATTTTTCGTGTCTTCTGGTCGATTTTGGTTTTAAAATTGATGTGTCCATCTGCCAACAAGCTCCACTAAAACTCAAATGCTTATCCTAGAGAAGACTATATTCCACAAATATTGACTGTTTTGTGAGAGGTTCTCCGCGTTTACATTAATTTTGACCTTTGTTGTCTCTTGTCTGTCATTCGTGAACAATAGCTAAAACAAAGTAATTACTCCGTCGACCAATCAGCGCTTCTGACCGGATTCCGGACAGATTTTACGTCATCAGTATGGAATTTCTGTAGCTGAGTCGCAGACGTTCCTCCGCGCGAATCGTCCAGAGCGGCGAAGAGCAAGGAGAAACGGATGTTTTCGCAGGCGATATCTATTGTGCGCGTGCGTACCTCCTCGAAATTTCTCCTCTCTCCCTACTAATAAACCGGCGCCTGCAACGCGAATTTGCAGAGCTATATCTGCATTAGTTATCAACGATTCACTTTTAAAGTTGACGTCTTTGCTGACTGTAAGGCGTTCTTTCCCAGTGGCGGATCCAACCTCGTTCCCAGGGTACTCAAGGTCTCTCCCTCTCGTGCGCCACGGGGGCCAGTTAGGAGAGGACCCTGGGAACGAGGATGTGCTCTTTTTAAGCCGTGCCGGCGGATGTTCGCTAACTGGTTGAAATCAAAAGTTAAAAAAATCGTGGAATGGTCTGTTGTACTCTTCCCGCATTTTTCGATATATATGCGGAAAGGAGTAGCAATCTACAGTTTGCACACGACAAAGACCTCAATAGATAAAAAAGCCATTTTATTCTACAACGTTAATGTAATCGCTTCTACCAGGCCTATGAGGTACAACTGACAATGAATGATCAGTCAGTGATGTAGTATCAGTGATCACGCCCAGCCAGGTGCAATGCCGGAACAAGCAATCATGTTCTATCACTTCAGCTAAAGTGCAATGCTTACAGTGTATCAGCTTAATATTTTACAAAGATTGTACCATTTTACTAACGCAGCGCTGTGCAATGCTGCAAAGTACATGCAAGGCAAGTTTGTAAAAAGCTACATAAAAAGGGGAAAAAATAGCCGTCACAGATAAACTGCAATGACGTAAAAAAAATTACAAGACAGCTTCATGCAAAGAACAAGCCTACTTATTTTATATTGTTTAAACTAAATATTACCAATGCAAGTATAGTGAAAATGATCCTTAGAAAGTTATGATGGCATGTTTAGCATTTGGTCTCACATTTAAATTTAAAAATTTGGCCTAGGTGTTTTTGCGGACTTGTAACAGCCTGGTGCAATGCTGTAGTCTCATGATGAATTTGTTACAACTTATTACAACAGCAGCTTGGTGCGGCAATACTACAGACGCTTATTAAAGTTTTCAAATTTCCCAATACTGAATATCTTTTCAGCTGAATTTCCATCGAAGTATTGAAGCCAGAGGTTCATATACCAACTTCTGAAAGTTAAAAATTCTTTTGGGCCAAATTATCTGTCCGAAGAAGCATCCTGTTCTCGTACATACCTCACTGCGTCACCTTAAAATTTAGCTATTTTTAGAAAACAAAATCTGCCTTTGTTTGCCATTTGGAGGTAAATATATCGAGTTACAAACCGGTACTACACTGTGGATAACTCAAGAACTAAAACCTTTCGTTTTCAGAAGCAATAGAACGAACACAAACTGCACCCTTATAAGAAACAATCATTTGGAAGGAAGAGGACAAAGCACAGTACACTTTAACTGTCGTCAATGTGTCACGAAAACGCGCTCTAAAAGGATAAAGAGTTACAGTAATACATGTAAGAAGGAATTTTGGAAGAAATCTTTGAGGAAAAAGGTTCCCTTCGCTATAAAATTATAGATAAAATCTGTTGTTTCCAGAAGAACATGATAAGTGAAACAACTGGGAGATCACTTCTTAGCATAAGTGATTTTCATGGCATGTGATGGTGTAATCCGGAATCCCTGAAGAGCATCTTTGGCTGTCCCCGACTGTACGTCATTCTCGAACTCCACGAAAGCAATGTCTGAACGACCTGGGACCAAGCGAACTTCTTTGAATCCAGGAAATCTGTAATAATGAAGTGCAAATAAAAGAGACAAACAACAACAAAACCTAGTCATTTATAACTATTCTCCATCCCGACAATGACCTGTCAAAATTCATAAACGAACTGCATAACGTCGCTTGTCACTTTAAAAATGAACAACTTTCAGAGGGACAACGGAGCAAGCACAGAACGCGAGTGCACATGACAACTGCTAAAAACGAGGAGAGTGAAACACAGGTGAAGGAAGACAAATTAAGAGGTTCAGTAAAGATGGTGAAACTCTTAAAAGAAGATGTTTCATTAGGTTTATAAAACAATCTAGCTGAGTCCAGAAATGGTACTGGTTGAATAACATAGACAACATCATCTCTGTAGTCTCATTTGGCAGGCTGGTCAGGAACAGGATGTTGTTAGGCAGTTCCACTGCTGGCTGTTGCACTGCTGCAGGGACCACTGTGGAAAAGCAAATAACCAATCTGTTAGAATCAATTTATTTTATCTTCAATACACATTGGCAAGTTGAAATAGGTTATTATCGTAACTGTGAAACTCAGGAAACTGTGGACACCAATAAAACATGTACATCTGGAATGTTAATGTGTTGCAAGGGAGAAGCCCATCAGGCATGGAAAAATTTAGCCTGCACCAAACTAAACCTCCAGTTAAGTCTGTCTGCACAAAAGCTGTCTGAAATCCTTGTTCTGAGCCCCCCATCTCTTGTGCACCAGGATTTGATTAGCTTGTTAAAAAAGCCATTGTTGATTTGCGAATCAAGTTAAGAGTGTAATTCGGTGATTATGGTAATTCATTGAATCCTTTTGTGGTCTAGAACAAGGATCTTGGCCCTGCTACGCAGACGTTACTAACTGGGACTAAATTTCTTTTGCAACGCAGGCTAGGCAAAACTAGTCTTCAAAAAACAAAATAATGTTCACAAGTCCATAATGTTCACAAGTCCTTACCATTTTGAGCAACTGGTGTGACCACAGGCTGTGCAACAGCCATGGGCACAGGCTGTGCATTCTGCTGTCGTTTGGCTGGTTTGGCTGTAAAAATATAAAGGGAAAATCAAACTTTTATTCCTGCAAGTCAAGCTGAAATGATATTGTTTACTGATAAAGTTTACGATGATTCTGCAGAGAAAACAGCCTTTGTTCTTCTGCCCAAATTCACTTTAAATCTTATCACATTCATATCTTAACTAGCCTTAAATGCCGGTATTGATCCATGTTACTTCACGATTCATTCGAACAGACCAAAGAAAAATGCAAAAGTTCATGTAACTTCAGCCACAAAATTCTCAAGAAATTCTTGTTCCACTACCCAACTGCACTTACTTCGAAACAATTTCACAATCTTGGGGATTAAAAAAAAGCCTAGTACCACAACAAATGAAGTTCTAAATAAAATAAAAAGAAAAACCACCCAACAGTGTAGCAGAGTGCGTGACTTGCTACAATGTTTTGGGCCAGTACAGTGACCAGAAAATTCCCTAATCAAATGAGTAAAACACGCTTTAAGATTGCTTTCTTGTTAAAGCTGTACAAGCTGCTACATGGTATTAATTGACTACAAATTTAACCAAAATAAAAGCACACCAAAAAGCTTATTTGATTCCTTTGAAAAAGCCAACCTTTAAGTTTTCAGTGACAGGTTTTCATGTTTATAAACCTAGTTCAATTGATACCTGATTTCAGGGTTCGTACTCTTTTTTGAACAAAAGGACTTTTCAAGGACTTTCAAGGACTCATTTCCCATTTTTCAAGGACTCCATTCAGTGTAAAAAAGGGCCTTGAGTCTACGTCTTTTTCAGTTCTTCCACAACATGAGAAATTTCATCCATGAATAATTCTGTGTACGCTCCTTTTTCTTTGGAGTTCTACCTAAACTATAAAGTTAGCATTGAAATTCAAGGACTTTCCAGCACTGACTGAAATTTTCAAGGACTTTCAAGACCTTGAATATATATTTTAAAATTCAACGACTTTCAAGGACTTTCAAGGTGAGTGCAAACCATGTAATTTAATGACATAAATGGGGCTTTAGACACTGTGGCAACTAACCTTGTTCAGGGGCCTTTCGCTTTTCACGTGGTTTCTTCTCTCGCTGTACATATGTTCCTTCCTGTTTGGCTACTGCATCAGATTTGCTTCTGGCAAACTGTATTCTCTGGCATACAGAAGACACAGTTACAGTGAAATAGTTGTTATAAATTAACACTAAATCATATAAAATCCATATCTGGAAATATGGAAAAATCTGTTCAGAACAGTGTACTGCTGTACATGTGGGAGAAACACTTGATGTTCAAACAGTGCAATGATTTTTACACTAAGTTAGAGGAATTTAAAAAACATTATTAATTTTAACAATTTTTTCCCTTGTCAAACCTCTGAAATTGAAATAGTTAGAGAGGAAAAATTGACTCATTCATCATTATGAACTAGGCACTACCTAGGAACTACCAAGAAAGGGTGATTTGAAAGTCACAGTATATCGTGAAAAACACTCAAACACAATGAAAAAAGGATTTATTGTCGTCAACAAGGATCAGCTTCTACTACCATACTAACAACAACTTCCAACAATATAAAGCAGTTGACGCGCTGTTGACAGCCAGGTAGGCATGTCTACTGGCTAGCAATAAAAGACTGAAAAAGCTTAATAACACAGAACAGATTCTGAATAGTATAGAGAAAACCTTCAAGATCAAATTAAACAATGCTGCAAGATTCATTTGTCCAACTGAAGAAAGCAAGTTAAGAGACAAGTAAGCAGGCAATCTTTGATACCAAAAACAAAATTATTATAATTATTATATATTGTTCATTTAAAATTTTAAGTAGACTGTTGGATCGAAACTGTCAGTGACAGCAAAGAGAGTTGCAAACATGAACATAGCTTCCTCTTTTTCACATGACAAAGAAGATTTGAAATTCCCACTACAGACATGACAGACAAGTATACCTCCAAATACCTCCCCAGAGAAAGGGATAAGGATAGGTGTACATGTAACTGGGGAGGCTTAGCCAAAAGCGTTTGGGGGGAGGGGACCTATTTGAAGGGACGCAATTTGAGAGTTTTAGTTTCAGATTGTGAATTTCCCCGAATTACTGGTATGTAATTGGATGGGATTTTTTTTTAATATCACAAAGCCTTTGACGATCTACTTCATACATACCATAAATGCAGCTACTGTAGATTTTGCTGTTTCTGAACAAACTTACCATTGGCTTGTCATAAAATGGGAAGCCTTGCATTGATCGCAGTGCATTTGTTGCACTGCCTAGGTCTCTAAACACTACAAATGCCTGACCTCTCATTTTGAGAGTCTTGAGGGCAACAATGTCTAAAATAGGTCCAAACTGTGAAAAAATGGCATATAGTGACTTCTTGAGTTCTAAAAACAAGGAACATCACAACTTGGTTAGTGACTGAAAAATCAATTAAAGTTGAGTGTCTGCTCTAGGCTCGCTAAAGTCACAAAGATTCAATATTGTATTAGTTTGAATGCTTCAGCTGTCATATAACTTGAGATGAGAATTACTCTGAGAAAAAATCTGTTTCTTTGACACTCAGGAAAAGACTGGTCTGTTATCGATGATCTAGCCAATTAAAGGGATTTATATCAAAACATGTGGCTCACCTGGGATTTACATCACACAGATATAGCAGTGTCTGATCTAGGATTTCCATCGAGGGGGGCAATGTGTCCCAGTCACTCGATTTTTTTTTATTCTAATGTATCGGGTGTTATGTTATCAACAAATGCAATGTTCAAGAGTGAATTGAACATACAGTCATTATCTGGAACTACTGTTGAAGTCCTGTAGTTGGCACAACCAATGGTAAAAGGATTTTGTTTCTTTGATTTTTGGCAAAGCCAACAGAACATACCCTTTGAATTAGTGGATCAAACTTTAGGGATTTAGACTTCCCTAGCCAGCTTTGTTGAAAGTTTCGCTTTGGCAACTTTGATTTTGATTCACTGGATTGATCATTCTCAGGCTCAGCTTCAACATTTACCGTGGACATTTCTGCAGTTTCTTCTTTGTGTTCTTGCCCAAAAAATGCTGAAAACCTTATTTGTTTTGACATCACTTTGCATTCACGTTCATCAAGAGAGGGGCTCTCAATTAAGCACGTGGATCTACCCAATCTACCCCCTAAGGTATTTATTAAAACTAGTGCCCGGGGCTGGGACCTCGAAAAATTGAGCCTTTTACATACATCATATTCTCTGGATTTTGGTTCTTGCTTTACTTTTAATCTCCTGAAATTTAAACCAAAATACTGTTTTAAGAAGATTTTGCACAAGGAGAAATTTCATTTCCTTGTTTCTTTTTCTTTTGAAACACAATTTGAAGTGTGCCAAAATGACCCAGAACAGGTATTTGAAAACTGCAGCAATCCCCCAATAGCACACTTTAGATCAGACACTGATATAGTACAAATTACATACAGGACACTGTCTAGTTATTCATGGTTGCCACAGCCAGAGGTTTCTGAAATTCCCTGACTTTTCTCTGACAAATGTAAAATTTCCCTGACCAACTGAATTAACAATTTCACACATCAGACCTGATGATGGACTCAACCCTCCCCTCCACCTTTTTATTTATGCTTTCAGCAAGTCACGTGCAATGTACATCAGATCAGAGTTTTTGGTGGCATTTGAAGGCGTCAGATGCAGAGGTTCAGCTGAGAGCCTTGCACTGTTTGTGCGGCAGGTGTTAATGTGCTAATGTTGAGAGCTGGAGTCAAAAACTTCTAAGGGGGGCCAAGGGCATGCTACCAAAGGAAATTTTTAAAAATTATTGGACTCTCTAAAATGCAATTTCCTGTATGCTCTGGATCGGAATTGGTTAACCAGGAAGGTATTATGCTCACAAAAAATGAAATATTATGATTTGCCAATTACAATTGTCAGTTGTCAGTTGTTCATTTTTTACTCTATTAATAAATGAAAAAAAAAAAATCACACTTTTTTCAAACTTCAAAAATTAATTATTATTTTGTGTGTGAACCACAGATGTTACATGTCAAACAACCAGACATAATTATGTCCGGTGTCCGGCTTGAAACGAAACCCCTGTCAGTACATGTATTGACAGTTCATTTACACAACATGCAAAAAAAACTGATGTTCTTGAAAAGCCAACATTGGCTTGTCGTCCAATTTCATGAATATTATTCTACCAATACTACATGATTCATGTCTGTAAAACGTATAAGAGAATTTTAATGTTAGAAAACAGTAATATTAAAAAGTAGAGAGAAAAGGGAAAATTAATATGTACTCTTAAAATTTCACTTTTCCCTGACTTCTTTCAAACATTTAATTTTTCCCTAACTAAAACTGAAATTCCCTGACTTTTCCCTGACCATTTCTTGACATGTGGCAACCATGTTATTTCAAAAGCATAATCTGTGAACTCACATCCAGTACAACAGCATTGGAACATGGTGTGTGATGGAGACTGGAGACTGACAGGTGAACAATGTTGTCTAATACTCTTCGAATACAGGGATAGTTTTTAGAGCATCATTGGCAGTCTGTTAAAAAGCGTATTGTTCATTTCGTTTTATGGATGGCAAATAGGCAGTAATTATTGAGAACAACTGGAACAGTCCAAAAGCTGTTTTATGAGTTAGTATCAACTCCGAACTGAAACTCTTGGAATACAGGGATAGTTTTTAAAGCATCATTGACAGTCTGTATTAGTCACACACAGTTCGCTCAAACGGAGTGTCGTTTTTCCTAGAATTATGCTCATATACTTAACAATTTCTTTACACTCACCTTCCTTCTTTACTTTCTCGTTGAGGTTGTTGATGTAGATCGTTTGGTTTGGCGGCACTTCCATTCTGGATTCCGGTTCTTGCAAAATGAACTATCGACTGTCAACGATTTCTGTACGTCTTGCAATAACCTGGGCTGACTCAACAAAAAAGGCCTGGGAGAGCTTAATCTGAACGCGAAAAATGAGATTGCGAGATGTAAAACGAAACGGAGGAGGTAAAAGTGATGGACAAGAGCAGCTTACAGTCCTGATGGCCTAAAGTAACGGAAAATTCATGCAGATTGCAATCGACATTCGAAAACCAGCATGGCAGACGCTGCCACAATAAAGCTACCATCAACCTTCGTCATGTAAACAGCAGGAAGTGTGACAGATGGATATTCGTTCCCAGGCTTCGTTTGCCAGGGTTCTTGTAAGCTGAGCAGTTTGTCAAAAGAGAGTTCTTACTCTTCGAACCTTTTTTTTTTTGGCGTAAAAGGCAGATTGTTTGGTTTGGTTGTTGGTAGGGTGGCGGCTATTACGTCCCCCCTGCATAAGAAAAATTTTAAATTCGGGGTCTAGGAAATACCATTACCTGCGTTTTCCACAAGACGGTAGGGAGTTTCACAACGACGACGGCGACGGCAACGGCAACGAGGACGTCAGAACAGCGAGAGAGGTTTAAGCAAAACAGCAAGTTTGCACGTCGTCCATCACGACTACGACGTGAAAATACCTAATTTCACGTTCTATAGGGGACGTAAACAAACGACGACGAAATTTTCTTTCTCTTTTTAAACTTGAATGCGGTCCGCAAGAAATCAACTCCAGGGAAATTAGCCCACATTAGACATTTTCAGCGAATTGGAATAAACGCGACAAAGTTTGAAATACGCTAATCCATTTTAAAAGTGACGTTTCACTGCCGTCGCCATCGTCGTTGCAAAAACACCTTATTTTCAGTAAATGAATACGAAGGAAAATGCAGTTTTTTCAAGTGATTCTCTCTTGGTTGTTTATTTTACCCGTCTCTAGCTTATCAGTAAGGTACAGTGATTACGGAAAAAGGGTAAACAAGTAACGAGATCAAGGAGGTTACAAGCAAAGGAGGGCGAAACGCCGTCTACCCTTCAGACGGGCAAATTTGTTACAACGCCATCAATATCAACGTCATTATGCTTGTGTATGTGCAGAACTGCAAGAGAGCTTTTTGCGGCGTTAGCGGGTATATTTTTGTGAGTCACGCAGACACTTTGGTAGAGAACGATTTCGACTTTTATTTTGTTCGCACACCACACGGCCAGTTCAATTGTATTCTGTATTTTGAATTCCCCATCTACGGCTCTGTTTACTCCCCCAATTTTGCATTAACTCATGTGTCTAAAAATGGTCCTGGGAGAACTCCACATTCCCCAGTTTTGACTTGCAAAAAAAATTACTTATGCAAAATTTGAGGACAACCATGCAGAGTCAGTACTATAGTAAAATGGTCAATAGAAGTACAACACGTGTATAAGACAATAAAACAGATCATTGTTTTTAATTATTTGGTGCCGGGATAAGCTCCCGTTATGGGCGTTCTATATCACCCCCTGATTACATAATTTATTAAAAACTAAATCATTGGATAATGCAATTCTAGATCTGATCAATAAACAATAATACTTTATTAAATTCTTATAAAACGGTGACAGTTATCTGGTTAGATAATAAATAGCTTTTAAGACGTTTTGCTGTGTAGCATCGCTGAGCAGTTTAACTCGTTCTTTGATGAAAGAGCATTTAGTTCACGGACTTGGCCAGCATGTATGCAAATCTATGGAACTAAAGAAAGCGTTTACATAAGAAAACAGTTCAACTCCCACGGAATTAGTTTGGGACACCAGCATGGCCGCCGTGACGTCACAATAATAATAATAATAATAATAATAATAATGATGATGATGATGATGATGATGATGATGATGATGATGATGATGATGATATTGATGATGATGATGATGACAATACTGGCAATCGGCAATACTACACACCAAAACATCCAATAAGATATGCCCTTTAGACATATTTCATTTTCATAACAATTGTATTGCTACGTACACAATTTCTCATCTATAACAATGAAAACAGTGTCCCTGAAGAAATTGACGTCGACGTTTAAGAATGCGAATGCTTAAGTATTAGTTAAATCCTAACTAAAAAAGAACAACTAGACTTGTTAAAAAGTCCTTCGTCCTATTTAATATGGCGCGAGACGAAGGTCTCCTCTCGCGTTCCTGACAAACTCGCTCCTAAACAGCCCGCCCCACTCGTTTTACGGCTTTGTCTGCGATAGAACTGGTGAGGACGACTTGTGGCAAGGCTAAGACCCCGTCCTCACGAATCCGGATATTTCTGAAACAGCATAAGTTTATACTTTGTACACAAATCAGCCCACCGTCCACATGAAACCACTGAATCTGCCCATCGAAACCACCTATTTCTAAAACTGCTTTTCAGAGTGTTTTTTTAAATAATGCAATCACCTACACACAAACCAACTACGCGACAGACAGGCGACGTGAACGACTTCGTAAGCGCTGAAAGCCATGCAAGAGAGAAACCTCTGCTCCCAGGGTTTTCAGCTGCAGAGGCGGACACGCGCTCCTCGCTCGCTTCTCGCTTGCCTTATTAGGCTAATGTATTCAGCCAGCCCGGATTCCGGTCTGGACGGGGCCTAAAAATAACAGAAATTCGTTATTTACAAGTAACATTTCGTGTTAAAAAGAGTATTGTTCATTCCGTTTTATGGATGGCAAATAGGCAGTAATTATTGAGAACAACTGGAACAGTCCAAAAGCTGTTTTACGAGTTAGTATCAACTCCGAACTGAAACTGCCACCAAACGAAATCGGTGTTCATGGTTTTGAGGCAATGATCAATAAAACAGAAACCTGGACTGGGAACTTGTTTCCTGAAACTTGCTTCTTTTTTCAAACTTTTCAAGGCGTATTAGCTAGTCTTAATGAACAGCAAGTGTATTTGTATCTCCCCTGGCCGGCTCGAGCTTTAATTTTTTGGAGGCTAAATCCTTGGAGGAATTCTCTTCTATCACAGTGAATCTCAGGATGGTCCCTGAACCAATCAACCTTGTTTACCCAGTCTGTGTATCGGGGATAACATTCTAGACCGGTAAAATCACCGGGAGGTCCTTGGTCCCCTTTCCTTCCACGAGAGCCAGTATCTCCTTTGATCCCTCTTGAGCCTTTAAATCCCCGGGGTCCTGCGGGACCAGGTGCACCAGGCTCCCCTATGTCCCCTTTGGGTCCTTTAGGACCCTCTTTACCAGGTAAGCAATGTACTGTAGGGGCCGAAGTACTTGTTCCCAATCGTGATGCTTTTGCACAGCCCCCTGGCAAGCCAGGCGGTCCTGGATTTCCTGAGGGTCCTGGAAGTCCCTAAAAGAAATAAAAGGAAAGTGTCTAAATGGGTGTTCTGAGGTGAGAACACCTCTGAATCCACTGATTTTATCCAGATGGTGGAAAAGCTAACGTACAGCACAAGGAGATCACCCTGAGAACAAATGACTGGAACAATCAAGCTTACAGGAGGGCACTACTCAAAACCACGATGCAAAGAAAGTCATTTCTACAGCTTCCTATTCAGGCAAGCTGTAGCTAACACGTACTAGCCCAAAAGTCATCCAACTAGCCCGAAAAACATTGGTGATGAGCAGTGATGAGTGTTGATTGAAGTTCGTCTGTAATTTGAAGGCCCTAAGAAACCGTTGGGTAAGCTAAGAACAGAATTCACAAACCCGATAGCAAAATCCACCGTAGCCCCAGGCTATCGGATACTACTTTCTTTGAACGCTGCAAACGGTACTTAAAAAATATTAAGGTCTTATTCGCAGTGGACTTTTATCGGACGAAAGGCAAAACATATTGCAGCAATAATCATGATCAGGACCATGGTAAACAAGTGTGTTAAACATAATATGACGATAAAACAAAGCCCTACCGCTTCTCCTTTTGGCCCTTGCAGACCCTGAAGTCCAGAAGGTCCTTGTAATCCTTTTTCTCCCATTTGTCCTGGCTTAAGTGAAAAAGGAAATATTCAGCAGATGTTAGTTTCCATAGTGTATCATGAAATCAAAAACTTAAGTCGCCGAACTACGAAAAGGACAATTCCAAGCCAAGTCCCCATAGGGTGCTTACCTGCCCTGCTAGACCAAAAGTCAACTTTAATCAGAACTTTTCAGCCATATCAGTCTATTTCCAAATACTATGAGTAGCAAGTGTTGCTGGGTTCCAGCAAAAACTCTCGAAATAAGACTGTTTCATTTTAAGGATGACCAGTCCGGGTGGCCATTCTGACTTTTGGTAAGTCCCCGCCCCTCCCCCCTCCCACCAACGAGTTTTTCCATAGGGCCAAAAGGTGACTGGACGGTGATGAGGCCGACTTATCGTTGAGGGTTCACAGAACATTATGTTTCTGGTATTCATGATTGCAAAGAAAGAATGTTGTGGCACCTTCGCCACCTCAGACAATCTGCGACACTGATTCACACACTACACTACTTCACTGATCCTGGCTATTCAGGGCTTATACTTAGGCGATGCATAAATGCAAAGGTCTTTATGCAACGATAAAATTTCATCAAAACAATATTATGTTCATCTCAACTTACCGGGCCCCTGAGTCCAGGAACTCCATCCAATCCGTTCCTCCCCTAAATTAGCGAAAGAAAAAAATTACTTCGCTGTTCTTTCTTTAACACAGTAAAGGCGTGGTGACTGAACGGATAATACGTCCGACTTACGGTAGCCTTTGCGATGAGGCTCGAAAAGCGACTTTACTTTTCCCGATATTGCTTCACATTATAGAAACTAGGGGCAAGCTTCAGCCCTGTCAGCCCCGTTTGGCTTGTAGTGAGCCTTTTTCTTTACCTTTTCTTCTTTAAAGGAAGAGAGCAACGCACAGAAATTCATGCAGACATGACCTCCTTTGCACACCCCTCTCTACTTCCGTGGGGCCTAGAAAGACTTAAAAATGCGCGGAGGCTGGAAAGAAGTGGAGCATGCACGAGTAGAAGGAAGGAGTCGCACATTTCTACCGTTCTCATTCTTTACGGCAGCTTCTGGAATAGGAAAGAGTACACTTTTACAGGCGAAACTCACCGGAATTCCCTTTGGGCCCCGCGGACCTCTGGATCCAGATTTTCCTCGCTGGCCTCTTTGACCTCGTCTTCCACGACATTCACTCGTGCACTAACAGAAAAAATTAAACAATTAATTAAAAACTCGTAAGGGCTATGAAAGTAGATGTTGTAGTGTTGTGGTTTTGACCTCGTCTTAGTCCACGACACTCACTCGAGCACTAACAGAAAAAAATAAACCATAATTTTAAAACTGTAACGGGATCATGAAAGTAGATGCTGTGGTTTAATAGGCCACTTTCACTTAGAGGTCACGTGACCAATGCTTCGTTTAAACAAGGAGTTGGAATCTTGCTGATGCCAAAAATTGACAGAGCAAATAAAAATTATCTTACACCCGAAATTTGAGAGGAAACGCATTTAAGGGAGATATTTTATGGCACTTTGATTTTTCAGCAAAGTAGTATGATTTGTATTGGCCGCCATGTTGGAGGGCATACTCTTTCCCTCCAACATGGCGGCCAAAACTACTTTTTGCTTATATCTTGTTAAACGTTTGACAGTTACGCTGAGATGTGCTGTAAACGTTACCACATCATCTTTCAACATTTTCCTTGAAGTTTAAGTGCAAAATTTGTGTTCAGAAAGAGGTAATTCATAATTTTAAAAATCATATTTTGGTCACAGGACCAGCTACGAACTTACTTATTTTGAGAAGATGGTGCGGGTTTGAAAAACCCAATTACTATTATTTTGTTTACATGTAAGAAATGACCCACAAATCGTTTTTCGAAGGCAAAATCATATAACGTTCATTGATATAAAAACGATGTCACATGACCTCTTAGTGCAAATGACCTATTTTTCCCTTTGTTTGAATTTTGTTTTCTTTTGTTTCAAGCTCACAATCAGACACTACCATAATTACAAAAAAGGTAATAGGATTTTTAAAAACCAAGGATAAATTGAGCAACAAGACACAAACGATTATGCTTAAAATATTTAAGAGTTTAAGAGCCCCAAAAACCACAATCACAAACCGCTAAGTGATTCAGGAACTGTCGGACCAAGATCAGTAACTTTCTTTGCCATTCTCATTTTACACATTAATTTGCATTACAAGATATATAGACGGCAGCAGTCAAGTGCCCCCAAATTACCTTGGCTTGCAGGGGCTTCTTTTCCCTGGTATTCGGCGGACGAGAGAAAAAGAGACTTCTTTTCCTCCCACATGATGAAAAGCGATGAAAAGTAGACAAAGTGGCAGCCTGCTGTGTTTTATGGCAAAGACTCAGGTGTGTGGGTCAAGTTAAGTGCACATGACAGGAAAGGCCAATTTTATTTAAGAGGCCTCTTGAGGAGCTTAAAATAGGATTTGGCATGCAGGAAACAAGTTTGAAGAAGGTCTATGACCTCTGAATATTACGTTGGAAATTCAAAGCGATTTTGTCTATTGTAATAGAATTTGTCGACCTTCATCATTATGGAAGTGTAGCATCGTCACGATAATAAACGTTACTGTATACGTACGGCAAACGCAGGTCGAATCACTAAACACTATTGTATTCAAACTCTTAATTTGGCTTTCTACAGTGCAGTTTATATGCCATTCTCCTGGTGAGCTTGGGCTGCCTGTACTGTCAACCATCCCTTACGCTCATATTAATCTTAATTTAAAATGAATGGATGCTGAGTAGAAAGACACGCAGATGAAAATCAAAGTAGTTTAACCATCTCGCTTTTTGGCCTCATCAACCGTGGGCCGTTCTCTACCACCCTTCAAAAATGCGAATATTTGCCCACCATTCTTTCCCATCCCGACGATTAACAAACAGATGGTAATGCTAAATCTAGAAGCTAACACAGCCCTGCATTAGTTAATTGAATAAATTTTAGGGCTTTTAACATGTTTTAGTTTGACGATTCAAATGAATAATAGTTACTTTCTTCTAGGATGACAAGCTTATTATTCAAATAGCATTTAACAATACAATACATGTTTGTCTTTTACCTCTTAGTATAGAAGATCGTTATCAGAATTAATATACAAGTTGAAAGGAAATACAACATATTTCTATTATTCAGTCTTTTCAAAACTATCGTGACTTGGACGCTGAAGACGTACATTCGTTGAAGTACCGCTAATGAAATTTGGCTGAAAAATAATCTCCTCTTCCGAACCACAATTGACTGATGGACATTTAATTGACCGCTACATGCAGTGATGACCGACAAGAGAGAAAAGCCCACACAACTTCAGTACACCTGCATATGTTTCACCCTTCGGGCCTTAAGATCCGCAGTAGAGTGCGTGAAAATCGAGGGGAAAAATCTTGAAGCTATTAAATGGTTCAACAAGTGTGTTACTGATAGTTTCATGCCTTGCACTGTCTATAATTTATCGCGAGGGGAAACAAAGCCAATTTGGGGGCTGACAGAATCCGTAAATAAAGGGTAAGACTATTTACGTATACTATGTGTAGTCTTCGAGATCATTCTGATTAAATTCCTCGCAGTTTTTGAGGTTGTGGGGTATTTTTTTCTTCTATTCATGCACTAGTAGCTACAGAGCCTTACTGTCACACAATTCAAAAAACGATGACAATTTCCTATTTCTCAAAAATGCAACGCATTATACTGGGACCACACAATTCTACAACATCTCTCTTTGCATGTGCCACGCGTCACTTTACGAGAGTCTTAATAGCGTTAAACGTTTCAGTCACTAGACGTAAAAAATAGACAAAATTTTAATAGTTGGTAGTAAAAAAGCTTCCCTGTGAAAGGGTTGTCTAGTTTGGAGGTGTCAAAATTACTGCATGCGTCTTGTCTCGAGGCTAAATAGATCATGTTATGTTATGGTTTTTTTTTTTGTTCCGGGTTGGTTCTGAGCGACCTAAAATCTAATTGATCTACCTATCAATGAATATAGTTTTTGAAGATTCCTGTGCGTGGACTGTGAAGTTACCATGTTACCCTGACCTTTCTGTTCTCATAACTAAATACAGTGAAACTAATTTGCTTGTAACCTGTGCCAGTTTCTACGGCATTAGTTAAGATGCATAGGTCAGTTCAAGATTGCGTGCGTTCCGAAAAAGAAAAGTGTAAAAATTTAACAAGATAAACGCCCTTGTTTCATTACATTACACCAATTTGATAACCTAGAAGGAAGATAAGTATTGAGAGGTGTACTTAGGAATTACAATACGTCTAAAATTAACCACTGATTTTTTTCTATATTTGGTGATGTGCTTGAACGAACCGCAAGTACTGAATAAATTCGCAATTCCGCGGACTCAACTTTATTTTACGATTTTTTCTCTTGAAACCAAATAACATCGTTTTAACATGTCACTGATTAAATAAGGACCCAAAGATGTGCATCAAATGATCATAATTTTCGGACCGATGACCTAATGGCTTATACACAGCAATTCAACTCTCCAAGGGGTAATTCCAATTCCTCTTTTTTTCCATTTTAATGCTTTTTGACAAAAGACTGTTTGCAATGGCTTGCGTGTCAGTCCGAGAATTCATAATTCTTTGAGAGCGCCTAGAAGTCGATACGAATGCACGGTTTGAATGCCATAGGGTCAGAAGTGATTTCCGGAAAGGGCAAAGAATCATATAATTGAGGGGATAAGTTTCCTTTTTCCCCTGGTGATATATTCAGCTAAAACATTCTAGAACGGCAAACTGTATTACTAAGCTATATGTAGATCAACCAGGCCTTGAAAGCCATCACAGTAACATGGGAAACAGTGCAGTCAGTGTAGAACGCCAAGCGAAATGTTTTAAAAATAAAAACCCCTTGATCAGGTCGGCTCTTTTGGAAATGTCATGAATTACAACTGACTCCTAAAAATGTGGTCTGATAATGAGGAAAATTCAAATACTTCCAGCTGAAATAGTGAAGTTCTTAACCAACGTATTCATAATTTGGGAACAAGAGTGGTGTCTTGGGAATTCAAAGGAGCGACGTATTTCCCAACGGATTACTTTGGAAACATCTTAAATCGATCGGTTTCCTCCGTTTGACATCAGAGGCTTCCCATAAAGAAACTTGACATCACTAAAAAAAGCCGAGCAAAGGTCTAAAGTAATAACAAAATCTTTGCCTTGTGTTCTAGGACACATTACTCTTTTTTTAATTGGTTAATGTTTGTAAAACAGAAATTTGTATATACCTTTGACCTTTCTATGAAACTTGAACTGATTCTCTTTAATGTTATATTATTTTTAAGCGGCTTTCGCATTGACCAGAAATGAGATTTAGTCCGTAATTGAACATGTTTTCTTTAATGCAAATGTTCAGCTTAAACTACTCTTTCAGTGATTTTTTTCGGTACAGCTCATCATGTTCTACCACGGAAGACATTTTTCGACGGCCCCAAAATGATTTTACCAGTTGTAATTTTCTATGTAAATCATAAATAACCGGAAGCCATAATTCCAACCGCATATTAAAAACAACAGAAAATAAACAAATGATTTCTTTATAGGAGCAAAACTATAACCGCAGCAGCGAAGATCTTGTACTTGTTACAAACAACAATGTCAAAGGAACAAAAGCAAACCGACAAAATAGCTGAAACAAACTTTAGACAATAACAAGCTCTACATAGATTACATTCCACTTAAAGTCCATGGTCTTATATTTGAGAGTGGGTGTTCTATTTTCTTAAGAATCAATATAAGTCGTTTTGTTGTTTATTTGGTCGAAACTCTGTCTGATTTGAAGTGCCTGCATTATTTAAGATGTTTTCCACTTAGTAGAAGAGGAATTAGCTAGGCATCGAACGATCACTGCCACTCTAAAACCGGAGCTGTTCGTTTCGTTGGATCGAAAATTTCTCGATTTTTAATTTCGTTCACCGCTTCAAGTTAACATTACCGAACAATTCATCATATTAAGATCAACCGAGTGCCGGAAGGTCTAAGTAAACAAACATTTCCATATTTGATCACTACCTAGCTAGCTCAGAATCCTCGTCTGCCTGTATTGATGAGGCAGCCCCCAAGACGTTATTTCAGGCAGACGAATTTATGCCCAGTTCAAACGTCGATCTTTTCATGTACCGAACCTAATCCCTGAGAAGATCGACGTTTGAATCAATTAAAATCGACACATCTAATTTGGGTCGACCCATGAATTAAGATCGAATGGTCCACATGGGAATTTTGACCGTGGAGCGACTTCGTTTCATACGTCGAACTTCTCATGTGCCGCACCTAACGCATAAAGTACTAAAATTTATTTTCACTTGTAAGCATTTTAGACAATCGACCATTGAGTCTGCATAATTAAGTTCGACGTCGGTCTGAGTGAACCGTCGAACTTATGTCATTTGCGTCGACCTAAATAGCTATTAAGTTCGGTACATGAAAAGATCAACGTTTGAACAGGGTCTAATTAATGTCATAAAAAATAGGATGAGTTAGTCGTTCTCTATACAGTATTTTGCGCGCCATCTCTTATTAATCTGTACTTTTATTGAAGCGATTTTTAGTAGTTCTGGGATTTTCTTCCTGGTTGGCTTCAAGGCCATCAACCCCTTCACTCCTATCTTTGGCCACCCAAAGTCAAAACAAGACAAATTTTATTTTGTGAAATGCTGAAAACCAGACTGTACGTTGTGAAAGCACTGCATGATCCAATCTTAACCCCAGAGCTCTTGTAATTTAAGCTGCGCATGCGTCTGTTACTTAAAAAAACTTATGCGCATGCGTCCTGCGCAAGGGAGCATTCTGCGGGCCAGACATGCGCAAAACGAGGGAGAATCTTTGGGGCGTAGAAGATAGTAAAGATGGGTTTCCAAAGTCGTGTAAATTTCAGTAACTGTTACCCGCGTAAATACGTAAAATAGAGGCGATGTTTGTACGTACGCACTTAAAAATTATGCGAAAGTGGAAATCATGGCTACCTTTACTTTAGGCGGTAAATAAGTAGATATTATAGATTTCAGTTGTCCATGCTCAGATCCACCGGCTTCCCTACATATGAGACGTACGAAGCAAAAATTGCATTGTCATTTAACTACTAACATAATTGGCATACTCAGTAAGTTCAACAATCCTCTCTGCTTCACTTTTAACAGTATCTGATAAAGAGGCCACGAGGCTAATTCGTCTATGATGCTATATCGAAAAAAACAGCGTATTGAGTTCTCTTGTTAAGTGCCTACAAAGGTATCTGCACTGATATCGATCATGTCAGGAAAAACCATATTTTAACACTTAGGCCTAGGCCACACGTCGAACTTTCATGAGACGAAAGAGTTAAGGTCATGAATACTTCGACGTCTGGCTCAGTTAAGTTCGTCTGAATAAGTTTGGATCGTCCAACACGTTCTATCCATCTGCTTCAGACGAGAAGGACGTCTGAAGATCGTCTCCCGGACAAACGTCGACCTTTACAAGCAACGAACTAAACTAATAATTGGCTGGACGCGTGCTAAGTTCGACTTCTGTAAGGTCGACCCAATTCACAAATTAGAGTTTGGTTCATCTCATGAGGAGTTCGACTGGTTTGCCCTAGGCCTTACACTTCTAATGGCGACCAAAGGAGAGACAGAAAACAAAAATAAATTCAAATTTCTTTTTGTAAAGTCGTTAGAAATAAGTATTGTTCTATGTTAAAAAGTTAGATTGACGGGCAACCTCGTCGCAAAGTGGTATTGGAATGAAAGAATTACAACTACTACACGTCAGCAAAGTCAGACGCCCATCCTTTAATGAGGGCACACATCCTAGCTACCTACGGCTTCAAGAAGATCTCACTTTCCAAGCCGTATAAAATGTGTAATTAGGAACGAGCTGGTCACTTCCTCCTTTGGAAGACCTTTAGGCCCTGTTAGACCGAGTCAGTTTTCAGTGTGTCTTTGTGAGTTGAGTTTGTGTTAAGTGATTGTCGTCCTTGCTACAAAAGGTTTTTCTCCAGTTTTCCCATCTCCTCAAAAACCAACAAGTCTTAACTGTTAGTTCGATCAGGAATGGTAGGAGAAAAAAGTAAGTGGTTAAGTTATTTATTTATTAATTTAATTTATTTATTTGTGCTACGCATTGATTTCATGGGGATGGATTGAGAAAAACGACGACTTGAAAAAACCCGATAGGTCATCAGAAATAAAAAACATAGCGCTAAGTAGAATCGACATAGTGACATTTAAATGAAGACTTCTTACTGATTTAGCCGAAAACATGACTAACTGTTGCAATTATTTCATAAAAAAATTTGTGAAAGTGCGCACATTGACAGTGAAAAAATCAAAATAGTTGTGGTTCTTTTATCAGCAGGCAACTTCAAAAATTCCGTCCATAGTTTGGATTTCCAGAGAAAACACATGTTCCTAGCTTAAGGCACTAGTTTGTGAAAACCTTACGCTTGCCAGCCTGTATTTAGCCTACAAAAATCGTTGAACAAAACATCAAGCTGCTGACATGAGTGGAAGAAAAACATGGCAAAATTTTCGTTGACAGCGCGCGTTAGCATCAGAATGAAAACAACACTCTTAGGTTAGAACAAATTTGCCAAGAATTCCTAAAACGAATCTAAATCGGTTTAAAATGATTTTCAACTGCTTCAAAGCGACAATGAGATTTTTTTCCGTCAAAAAAAGACATATTAAAGGTTACATGCATGGACGCCGAAGAGAGAAGTTTATTGTTGAAAACAAGTATATAGGAGATCACCAAGACCTGACACTATTTTTTTCGCATCTTGAATAAAAAAAATGGAAACTACTGCCTCATTTTTGAACCATGCGGAAAGGGCATTAAAAGTGGAAAGTCGGTATCGTTTGTAGTTTTTGTTGTCGAGCAAAATTACTGCCGAAGACTCTAATCGGCGAGAATTAATTAGTGAAACGGTGTGACTTTCTGCATGCTGTGAAATGCTCGAGGGTTTGAAATTAAAACCAAAAAAGAAGTCTGCGAACGTATAAATCAATCTGTAATTTAAAAGATGCTGCTAACAGGTTGAATTCCTAGGCGACTTAGTGCCATTGTCTACTGACGAAACCGTGAAACCTGGTTACATTTGTTTACCGGAGTGGAACAGATGGAGTACATGTAACAGAGAGGACAATGTTGAAAGACTTCATCTAGCATCCTTGCCGGATTTGAAAAGGGTCAAACTAAGGTGTCTCGGATTTTTTGTATGAAAGCGGTTTCAGATTCTCACTATCAGGAAAACTGAAACAAGCGCATCCCTTAAAATCCCGATACGTACACGCGAACAGAAACTAACCGTTAACATGGTTAAATCTTTTAAAACCACCTTTCCATGAAAGCGCCGCAATTTTGAAAAATGCTCTTGGTTCTACGTATTACAATTTCATCGGAAAAAGGGTAGCAGCAACCTGACATGATTTGTATTTGTTCTTTTAGACTTAAAGTTAACTCATTCTCGCATTTAAACAATATACTTCTTACATGTTCTTAGACTGCACAACGCCAATATCAACAGTGCGCAAAATTTTGTACGTTTACTTAGTTTACCAGATTAATTGACAATTATATGTTTCTAAAAATGTTGCGTGACAATTCCGAGCCTGAACTGCTGGCCTCAATGTCGTATGATAAAGCAAAGTTCTTTTTAATATCATTGTTATGAAAGATGAAACACTCTATCTAGAACTAAGCCTATATAACCTGACAGAAGATTGATAGATTGAATTTTAAATTGCCTTTTCAACGAGACATATTGATCTGTGAAAGAACAAGGCAGAACTTTCTAGGGTTGGAACTTTTCCATTTCCCAAGTTTTGACCAAGTTCCATGGGATTTTACTAATCAAACCAAAGAATAAGGATAGGCTTTTCAGCCAAGGTGATATAATTAAGTACTGTCATTGCTGTTATTGTTATTGTTGTTTTTCACTTACTTTGTTTCGTTTACTTTCTCCCGATTCTAATTTTCTGTTTTTGCCGTTTTTTCCATGCTCTGCAGACGGACTTAAGCATCGCACAAAGTACATCCCATCACCATCTTTCTCAACTTGGCACTTCTCCTAAATAAAATGATATGAAAATAAAAAGAAAAGACGTTGAGAATCTCTTAGAGGACGAAGAGATGGCATATCAATGATTTGTGGAAATCCAAACATGCATTTCCAACAAAGTAAACATAAACACAGGCTCATGTTTTTCTACGGTCGAAGAAACGAATTGCAACGTGAACAAGTTAAGTTAACTTTTTAATGCTCCGACAATGTTATCTCGAGAAATAAAATCACCCCAAAATAATCATAATAGTTTTCTTTGTGGTACTTTTCTTCCAAAAGTTCTATTTAAATCTGAGTTTCACCTTGCAGAAACGGTCCACGTAAGACAAAAGAGACTAAAGAAGTGCTTCCTCAACACTTAAAGACACTTATAAAAAGATTTCTTTTACAATGGGCATGAGTTAATAGTGCTGTCATATCACTCCCTGGCGTTCTTCAGACGTTGTGTAGTTGACACGTGGCTCAGTGTTCTCTTGATACACACATACCCCTCCCTATTTGAGAGACCAATTAACGCTTTGTTGAATTAAATCAAGAGAGGAGGGATTTTTGGCAAAATAGAAACTCTTTAAAGCCTGGACCCGTAAACTGGCTGTTCTAGTTAAAACGTTACGTTTTCTTTTCACGTCAATAAAATAAGTGTCTTTTCAAGCTAGAAAAGGTGTGCCCTTGGTTTATAAAGGACAAAGTCGAGTTGCACTCTTCCCTTATTTTATATGCTCAAGGTTTTAGCTCAGTGTTTTTACAATCGTAGATATGTTTATCAATTATTTTTATGCTCTTTCAGGTCTTTTTTTGGTGCAACCGGACTATAATTATTTATCGCATTTCAGACACGTCTTTAAAACAACTCGGTGATCCAAAAAATGTGAGATATTTTGAATTTTCATTGGAATTTCAGTAAAATAAGGACAATAAAGTGATATTAAACCTTATTATGTTAAAATAATATAACGGAATTAAGTTCTATTAATATTGATCAATCTGTCTTACCACATCCGCAATATCGCCAATGGCGCCCATTAAAAAAACAAGTTTATTTTGTAGGGGGAAATGTTCATAAATAGCTGTTTAAGTCGTGGGTAGCAGTGCCAGACGCAAGATCAATAAATTTCAAATGAGCTAACTCCTATTTTTGCGCGTGACATTTCCATCTCCCCATATGTGAAATCATCATGACCAATTCAGGGTTAGCGCCCGGGTGGCTATCTTTAACACATCTGGCAACTTCGAGTCTTGTCGTGAAATGAAATGTCAGTTACAGGGGCAGCCTGCGCCCCAGCGATGTTCTGTAATTGCTATGACTCATGTGACAGCTAATGATCTCTGCGACTGCCAATAATAAATAAATAAATAAACCAATCTTTCCTTGAGTAAATAAGTTTTGCTTTTACTTTGATCGCAGATAAAAAAAGCTATTGTGAAAAGTGGTTACCTTACTAAAATTATTATACAAGCTATACAGAAGAACACATAATCACTGAACATTTGGTAAAGCTTGGTCTCGCACGCCTTCTACGAGGTGACACAAGCACAAGTTAAGTCACTGAAGACATCGTTGAAGTGTAGCGGTGCTATCACTCAAGTTTGCTTAAAGGAAATCCGAAACATCCCACTTACCTTTTCCTTACTTAATCTCGAACTTTTCAAGCCTTTGGTCTCCCTGGAAGATTCCGTTTTGTCCACCAAGCACGCCAGAGCAAATACAAAAGCAATAAGGGTAACCGTCAAAAGCCGGCGTAATCCAAAGACGTTCTCTCGATTTCGCCCACAATTGCTTGCCATGTTGACTGAAGCAGGAGCTAATAACTGGTTGATTCTAGCTCAATGACATATCGCGTGTTATTCACTTCGTGATAAAGAGGAAACAAGGCAAAATCCCGTTAGCCCCGATGGCTTTTATGTTGGCCTACGGTCGGTATTGACCAATGATATTCCGGCAAGACAGTTTGTGGCCAGTCATCACTCAACAGCCAAGTTAGATTTGTTCCAATTGCAACTAGAGGTTCCACTTATCTCAGTTCGAGGCATGCATTCACTGTTTGAGATGAAAAATTTTCTGCGGCACAGTGAGAAGAGGAAAGAACATAATGCAAATTTTCTCTGCAGTAATTTCTCTCGGAATTTACCTCGATGGAGTTTTGTTTTCGTTTCACCGTGATTCTGAGAGTTTTGAATTCTTGTACACGATCTTTATCCGCTTCCTCGTGTGATAAACACAGGAGAGAAGGGTGCGCGAATCTCTTCCCGCAGATTAACGACAGCGGGAAGGAACATCACGGAAATGCAAAGAATTAACAGCAGATTTTCACATTCTTGCTAATTTGGCGTAAATGAATTTCGGAAAACTTTGAACGTATTTGTTGTTACAAGGGATATAATCGAAACTGAATAAAGGAAGTCTGTGGAGGAGTTTTTGTTTTCCTATCAAGGTTTAAAATAAGTTATCTGTGGGTATTTATTTATTTTATGGTTCTCAAAACTTCTATTAAACTTGAATGATCACTTAATCCTTACTAAACGGATCAAGCAAGATGGAAATCCTCTTAGCAAAGACTGAAACTTGCACCGTTTAACTTATCCATAACACTTTCTAGTTTTTCTAAAGATATTTATAAATAGGGATGGAGACGAAGCCATCCTATTAACGTCTATATTTCCATTTCACAAAAAGCCAAAAAGGTCACGTTACATAGTGTCGGTATGGCTTTTTAAGAAGGGATTAAACCTCAGGATTTATTGTGGGGCAGCCTCTTTGTAAGATTAAATAAATCAAACAACATGTTTATTTGCAATATTTGGAGTTATTCTAACTTCGGTAAATCAACATTTGAAACGTTATCACTTGGAATTCGCTTCATCAAATTATTTTCGCAAATCGGGGAAAGGCTTTCACAACAAAAACATGTGAGCTGCGAGTCAAAGTAGGCTGCAGTTATCCAACAAGAGTTTCGCGAAATGTGTTAATCCATTGAGGGAAATCGGTTCGACCTCGTTATAATCCACTTTTATCTGTGTCCCACCTTGGAGGGGGGGGGGGGGGGGGGAGAGAGTTCGTTTTTGATGTGTTTACGAAAGAGTGCGAGCCTAGGGGTGGACGTTTTTTCCTGGTCA